TCTGCATTTTGCGGCAGATGCTGTCCACTGGGTTGTGCCGACGGTTTGACTGCGGCGTGTAACAGTCCATGCTGCTGATGCGGTTGGATTCTGGCTGGAGGTGAGGCTGAAGTCTGAAACAGAACACAGCAGAATGTTTTGGTGTTGATGTTAAAAATGGGAACAGGAGAAAGATCAAAATAATAAATGGAGATTATGAGCCAATGAAAACTAGGATTGGCACTAATATTACTGAGGCATATTAGTTGAATTAACCGAATAAATATATAACCTCATTGCTGTTGTTCCGAATGCTAAGAACTGGAACATCTGCAGGAGCTTGGAAAATAAAGAATTATTCGGTAAAAAAAAAAAGCCGAAAAATATTCACAAAAAAGAGATAGAAACTTAGCATATGCTAGAAATTAGCCACATTTTTATTTCATAAGGCTACCATTTCAACATTATCCTAAAGGGGGGGCTACTACCCAACCCCAACTCTTTTGCTGTTGTGATACAACTCAAATTGATAAACCACTGACAATAACACATTTCTAAACAATATTTTATGTTGTTTCTAATTAGGATTTAACGTGTTTGTTTCCTTACAATCTATTCAACTTAAAATAAATTTTAAAAATGTTTTTAATTTATTAGCGACTAAGTTTCTGTCAATTATTTTGGCCCCGGACGTCAAATATACTGAGACCGCCACTGGCACAAAGTACGTTTTAGTCATTCGTCAGATTTATTTTATTTTATTAAATCTTTCGTACTGTAGGGTTTTTATTTTAAGAACTGTTACGTCACTTCTTTGGGTTAAAAGTTACTTGAATTTGAAGAAAACAGTTTCCAATTTTAGTGATTTTTCTGCAGGTGCGTAAGAAACGCAGACACGCAGTAAATCACGAAACTGCGGTTGATACAATCCGTTAAAGACAACAATAAAAACCTTAAAAAATTTATCGCAATTATCAAACAACGCGTTTAGAGAATATTTCGATTCATCGGGGGTTTCGACATTTTCTTCCTTTTCATCGCAACAACCGAACACGTCAAGATAAAACCGAACAAACACACAGTATCAGCCGGGGTTGAAAAGCTCACCTCCAGTCTTCTTCTCTCGACACAAAACCTGACCGTCTCAGCACAACACAAGTCTTTCCTTTCCTTCTTTAAACTCTAATAAAACAAATAAATCCACGGACAAATGTTTGCTCTGCTGCTGCCCACATGAACGCACCAACCACGCGCACACAGGTGCTTTGAAGCTCGGCGCACGAGACTGAGGATCAAACACAGGTGAGCGTGTGCGCGAGGCTACAAGCAGTCCAGCCCCGCCACCCAGCGGCTGAACAGTGGCATTGCCGGCAATAACAACAGATTACAATCAGATTCAATTTAATTTATTTTATCGCCAAACAGAAACTATATCGATTATAAAGTTATTATTAATGGAACACATAACAAAGTAGTTTTTAAAATCATTCAATATTGATTTGCCCGTATGGTAATAAATAACATACATAAGCTAGCAAGTGCTAACACTAAAGCAGGAGCAGGCTAATCAAGGTTAATCAACAGTAATACATAAAAGAAAATCACAATATTATATAAAATCTAATACTAACTTATATATAATAATATCGATAAAACAAAACAAAAATAAACAAAGAGAAAAACACAAATGTATTAAAAGTTTAAGTTTTAGGTTACCTATGAAGGCGAATCAAAACACATTAGCTAAAATAAAGCTAAATGCTAACAACCCAAACAACAGCAAAAGGGAAAGTAAGGAGGATTTTTTATTGACAAATTGTTCAAAAACAACCATAACATAAGTACAACAAAGGAAGGTCAAAGTTAATAGTTTATAAAAAAAAACAGCTATGTAACAGTATAAAGTATGAACTATCACAACTATGTAACAGTGTTTGATGCTTCGTCTTACGGTATTTCAGTATTTTTGTTCGTCACTGTTTCAAAACCATCACTTATTAAGGTCAGTGAAGACTAGAGGCCACCGGGAACATTACACAGAACCTACCCTCAGTCGCTGCTCCAGGTGCAGCAGAGGCGGGGGGCGCAGAGGAGTCACACTATTAAGGTCAAATCAATTCAGTGTACAGTAGAGTGAAACAGGGGAAGAAGAGAAGATGTAGGAAATAAAAGAAGAAAAGAAAAAAAAAGCTGCAGAGCAGCAGAGTGACCAAGAGAGACATGAAAAGCCAGGGCGGCGCGTGACCTTTCCCTCCGACCTGGACCACCTCTCAATTGTTCCTATTGACGATCACCACAATGAAAAGATTACAGGAAGTTTTGTCGCCTCAGCGGCTGCCTTTTACCACTTCGGGGAAAAAAAAAAAAAAAAAAAAGGTTCAAAATATTCTCTTCAGGCAGAAATTAAAATATTTGTTAATTTGTTGATATTTTCTGTGTGAGGAGTTTGTTGTCGACTCTCTCCAAGCTAAGCAGGTTCTTCTTCAGTGGTGGACCGAAGGCTCAGGTGGAGATTAACACGCGCACGCGCACAAACAAACAGGCTAGGTGGTGGAGCATATTTAGAGTTGGTGTTTTGACTACTTTTGTTTGTGGTAAAATATAAGAATCGGAGTTAAAATAATAATAATTACGTAATTGGACATAATACAGAGAATTCAAACTTTAATTGTTTCACAATAAAAAATAGTTGGATTCACAGGTTTAATGTATTTATTTTTTACCATTGGTAATAACTAAGTGGTGAGAAACTATTCCATATGTCATGGATATAAAAAAGATTTTTACTACATAACAAATCATGAAGACATTTGTGAACCTGTAAGCATGTTAGCAAAAAACATACTTTTGTTATATTAAGGCTCTTCAAGATCTGACTCCAAAAAAACCCCCAAAAAAAACACCCTGTTGCCCCAGGGCACCGTAGCTGTTAGCTGTTGTTAGCTCTGCAGCTGACACTTTCACACACACACACACACAAACACTGCTGTTTATGCATGACACACTCCACTCTGGTAATCTGGGATTACAGAGCAGGCGACGTCGTGCACACATGAAGATACAGGGGATAAAAGTGTTGAGTACGTAATCCCAGGGGGCTGGAACTCAACCCTTCAGGAAACGGTTGTGTACAGTAGCTCTGAAGTCTTTCAGAAGAATCACCGACCCAGTGAGAACAGCAGGTGAGCAGCAGGAAGGGCTGTCGTCCTTCACGCTGTCTCTGAAATATCTGACACATCTCTCTCACCCGCCTGTCGCTGCAGTTGCACAACAGCAGTCACGTGGAAACACAGTGGAGTCGTAGTGTGTTGGATTCAAACGCCTTCACTTTCACCGACTCTTTCATCGGTTCAGATCAACATTAGTTCCACTCTGAGACCTGGATTTAGTTTATATCATTCTTTGATTGGATTAAATAATAAAAGATATATTTAAATTTTAATTATTCTGACCTGACCAACCCTGCAAAATCTGTGTCCCTCAGAACAACACGCCCCCCACTTTGGGAACCGCTGTTTTTTTTCCCCCCACTTTGGGAACCACTGTTTTTTTTTTAAATGAATTTGGGTAATAGAAGAAAATACAGTATAAATATTAATTATCAGTAACATTATTACTGGTTATATGAACAAATGTATAGTCGGGCCACATGGTGGAAGAGTGGTTGGTGCTTTTGCTTTACAGTAAGAACGTCACAGGTTTGAATCCTGGAATCAAACTGATGGTTCAGATGTCTTCCAAAATAAATGTTTTTTAAGTGTATTCTCTGTAGTTTATAGTGTAGTGTAAACTTCAGCACCAGCAGTGACGACCAGTGAGGACCAGGACTAGAACCAAGGACGTCTTCCTGCACTGGTTCAGTGATCACAGGTCACTCTTCACATTTGTCGAACGGTTCCAGTCTGTAATAAACGATGAATGAAAAGGTTTGTGCGTCATGAACAACAGTCACATAGATGTGAACGTACAGTAGAATGAGTTTCTGGTTCAATCACGTCCATTTTTTTCTGAGGCATGCTGTGATTGACCTCTAGTGGTAGAAAAGTGGAATTACATCCTTATGACAAATAATATCAAATCAAATTTATCGATTCATCCACAATCTGTCGTTTTTTTCCTGCACAGGGAAGGGGGCGCTAGAGTCCACCCCAGCTGCTGACTCCACACAGAAACATTGATTGTGGCACATATTGAGTTTATTCTTTTAAACCTTTGACCTGTTCGTTTCCCTGTAAACCCTGCATGATTCAAAACTCTCCTGAATAAAAGTTTTGTTTTTTTTTCACACATTTGGTCTGAACTCAGGAACACGGAGATAAAGTGGCAGAAACAGGCTGTAAAATGTTGGCTCCTGACACCAGGTGCAGGTGATCTGACGATGAATATCAGAGACAACAGAGAAATGCTCATTTACTGTGACAGATGAAAAGTACTGCAGTATTCAGGCATCTATACACCGTTGGTTGGTTCTCTCACTGATTTCCACTTGTGCTCACAATAAGAGTGTTTTTTTTTTCTTCACGTATCCCCACAAGTAAATAAGAAAATGAAAATCCACACCTGCTTCAGATGTTCGTCTGAGCTCAACGGCAGCTGTGGAAACATCTGTTTCCTCCTCACCCTGTCACCCCGACACTTTCGTTTTTTCTGTAGTAACAATTACTGTAATAGAGCCTTCAGTGTTCAGACAGGAGGTGTGTGTGTGTGTGTGTGGGGGGGGGGGCGGGAGCTGCAGCTCAGCACTTGA